ACAAACTCCGTTCCTCCTGCCATTCAGCCAGAATTTCTCAGTTTCTGAGCTGGTAAGCTGTAGGAATACCCATCTCCTGTGAGGGGTTGAGACATTGCATACCTGCAAGGCCCACACCCCCAGTGAAGCCGGAACCAACATCCGGCTTCTGGAAACTGTTGCTCTGCTTGCCATGGAAAGCCATTGCTGCTTGTTGTTTGCACCAACTTTGCATTGTTCGAACCCCTGTATAGTGGGGCTACCAGCCAACCAATCATGTTAAAGGTCAATGCATGATCCACGCGTGATCAGCCACTGCATAGCGTATGCACCATAGGGATAAAAGGCCCGCTGCAACCCCAGTCAGGGTCCTTGCCTGCAAGAGTGGCCACTGCGTTGGTGCTCTAGGGCTTGGACCTGGCTAGCCAGAAAATAAACCTCCTCTTGTGTAATTACATCCTCTCCTGATGAGAGTGGCCACTGCGTTGGTGCTCTAGGGCTTGGACCCTGGCTAGCCAGAAAATAAACCTCCTCTTGTGTAATTACATCCTCGATGTCTCTGCTTTTCTGTCCGGTGGGGCTGTGGAAGGTCGGTCCCTAACACTCCTAGAGTTAAGATCCTGAAAGAAGATGACATTAAAATGCACAGGGTCTCCTCTAGCTTTTTCTAATCAACTGAGTTAATTCGTCAGACTATCTAGAGGTAGAAATACCAGGAGCTGTACTTGTATCTAAATTCTGACAACTGGAACCATGAAGAAATGATACAGGGGAAAAGTTTCAATTATTTAAAAGTAGAATCAACAAAACCTAGGAGATCTCAGAAGGCGTGTAATCCAACATCCCATCTAATGCCCAAGTCCCCTCTACGACATGCTGTAACAGGTGGGTCTACCTGGGCCATTTGACTCATCAGGCCTCCCCCATGCCCACAGCAGTCTCCACGTAAGAACAGGCCCCTACACCCTCCCACTCGGTCTTAGTCCTGAGCCACTTCCCAGACTCACTCTGTGCCCTGTGTGCCAACCAGCTCCCCACTGTCCCATCTCCTGGTCTTGTTACTCATTATCCCTATTTATGAGCTTGTCCTTTGGATCTGGTGATACCCCACCAAGATAAGACCAGGTTGAAGTGAATGGCAGTCACTCTGGAGAGCCAAGGTCAGGGCCAGGTAAAGAGAAGCCTCCTGCTTTTCTCAAGCCAGCCTCCCTTTTACAGTTTCTATCCATCGAATCCTAACTAGATTTTCGCTGATCCTTTTGAGGTCCACCTTCTCAATACGGCTTTACCTTCCTCCTGACAGTGTGTCACAGTCACTTTCTGCCTAGTGTTCCCATCCTTTCCAGGTCTCTAATTAGCTCTCCTGCCCTGAAGAGGGTTTGGCATCAGAGTGGCATCCCCCATATTCAGGAGGCAGTGGTGGCATGGTGGTACCTGAACTTTAGGTGCCAGAGGCTTAGGATGGGGCTTAGAGATCTGGGTTTTATTATAATGAGCAGCCTAGGAGATTCTGCTGCAGGTGAGCAGAGGGCCTAACTTGGACAAATATTGATGAGAATCTTGATGTCAGATACACTAGAGTTCAAGTCCTGGTGCTGCAACTTACTAGCTATATGACCTTGAACAAATTAGTTCCTCTGCATAAACATAAGCCTCAGATTCCTCATGTTTAATAAAGATGATCAAACCCATCTCCGAGTGTTAGAACGTGAATGAGATGATGTCTATAAGGTGCTAATTCAAAGCAGGTACTAGGCAATGAGTAAATACAAGCTAGAGTTACTATTAATATTAGTGTAATTTTTTTTATCTTCAGCATAGGGAAATTATTAGAAGCAGATAATTTATTGCATGTCCTTTGTAGCAGACTGAGATTTCTAAGTGATGCCTGTGAGTCGTCTGATCACCCCGTGATTTTCCTCTGTGTGAGTTTTATGATTCCTATGGCTAATTTATTATCATTTCTGTGCGTAGCCCTGGGCCTTGCACTTAGTAAGGGATCACAACTTCCTGAATATTTTTGAACTAGTGAATGCCATCTGGCCAGGCTCTCTGTGCTATATACCCCCTGCAACATCACCTCTGTTCTTCCTTCCCTTCTCCAACACCCTGGTTCTCTGGTGTCCTCTTATCTGTTGGTTCCTGTCAGACTGGTCACTTCCTGGTAGCTGAGCTGATAATACTAATTGCAGGGAGTTCACAGCCTTTCTATCTACAGTTTCACAAAGTTCACTCTCGTGGGTACAGTGACTTCCTGGTTTTCCTGTTCATGATCTGTCACCTGAGTTGCTAATTGCTATTGCATAACCAGGTATGTGTTTGCTTTTCAGGAGATGCACTTCTCTTCTAATGCAAACGTAAATACACAGGGCATAATAAGCACCAGGTCTGTGAATAGCTGTCCCCTCTACTCCAGCCCCAAATCTGGTGTAGTTGCTTTAGGATGATTTTATAGATCAATGAATCTCACCTCTGGCTGGCCAGTAGATTCACCTGGGATGCTTTAGCAACCTACAGGTCCCACTCCTAGTTTTTTTGAATTGAAATCTTAGTGGCTAAGAACCATGTAATAAAAATATCTGGAGTTAGACCCAATAAAAGAATAACTTCTGAAATTAGTGTTGCCTGGTAAATTCTTGGCCATTACATCAAAGTGGCCTCTCTTACATATGGGATAGAACAGAAGAAAGCTTAAATTGTTGTGGTTTTTTTTTGTTTGTTTGTTTGTTTGTTTTTTTTTTAGAGATGGGGGTCTTACTATTGCCCAGGTTGGTCTTAAACTCCTGGGCTCAAGCGATCCTCCTACCTCGGCCTCCCAAAGTGCTAGGATTCCAATTGTGAGCCACTGTGCCCAGCCAAAAGCTTAAGATTTTGAGTTTCCCACCTCGAGAAACTTTCAGGATTGCAAAACAAGCCTGCTTTAGACTCTACAGCTAATATCTCTTAAGGATGCTGAGAGCCTTCATCTTCTGCAGGTGCAATCACTAATTTTATTAGGAAAGAGTGCCTTCCAGCCCTCCCTATAAAATCCTCTTAAGAGCGTACACTTACCTACAGCTGGTGCTCTGAGCTAGCGGCATAACCATTGAGCCTTCAACATGTACTTCTTTTGCTTTGGTGGCCTAAGTTTCCCAAACAATAAGACTGAAATTTATTTCCCACCCAAAAAGAAGCGTGAGTGGGCCAACTCAGCCCCTGGGAACAAGAGGAGCAGGAGAAAGAAGAGCAAGAAGAAGGAAGCCTATTTTAGTTACATGGGGAAGGTCCTAAAGCAAGTGAGTTGGCACTCTTTCTTTGTGGAAGCTTGGAATGGCCAAGAGAGGTATCATGTTAGTGGCCCTGGGTGTGATCTTGACTTGAATGTATTCTGATATAGGAGTGCTTCTTCACACGTTGTGTTCCTGAAAAGTTATGTGCACATAGCTTCTGTAAACTGGATCTGCTAATAGCTGTCTTGGTTTTTCTTTCTGTTGGCAGCAGCCCTCAACACCTGAGCTCTTAGCCCTCACCCTCTCTCTCTCTCTCTCACCTGTTGACAGGCAATCTGTAAACTGATTCTTAAATGCCCTCTCCTTTTCTTGTGGAGGGTAGATTCACCGCCTAGTCTATTCTGTAACTTTGAAGCATTGCAGATGTCAGGTTTTCATCAAATGATGCTCTGTATTGAAAATGTTCCTTAGGTGGGTAGGCACTCTTGTTCCTTCCTCCTGCCCACCTGACCTCACCCTATGGCATACAAATTGTAGAAAACAAAATCAGTCTTTCTCTTTAAAAGCTGGGGCAATGCAAAAAAACAAAAAAAAATCAGTCTTTCTCTTTAAAAGCTGGGGCAATGCAAAAAAACAAAAAACAAAAAAAAAAAAAACGTAAGGAGATTCTAGGAAAGATGTGCAGGGGCTTGATTTTGAGTTTTACTTCTTCATGACAAAGAAATAAGGTTGAGCGTTCATGTGTGTCATTGTACCGAAGTTCCCATATTCCAGTAGTGTCATTTGGAATCTGTTGCTTACCCTGGGAAAAGAGGAAATTGGATCAAGGAAAGATGGGAGAAGGACAAAAGGTGTAGGATATTTAAAGCAGAGCTTTCTCAACCATAGCACTGTTGAGATTTGGGGCTGGATATCTCTTTGTTGTAGGGGGTTGTTCTGTGCATTCCATTGTAGGATGTTCAGCAGCATCTGTGGCCTCTACCCACTAGACACCAGTAGCTCCTTCTCTCCCAGCTGTGACAACCAAAAATGTTCCCATACATTACCAAATATCCCCTTGGGGGGCAAAAATCTCCCCTGGTTGAGAACCACTGCTACAGAGCTTGCATTTGGCTAGAGGGGCCCTCCATGGGAGTACTTGCATTAAGCAGTACTTTGGGTATTTCCTAGGCATTCCCCTTCCAATAATTATTCTTCCCTTGGCCTGTCCTTAACTGCATGGGCCTGGCAGGCCACTCAGCTTCCTCGTGCCTCCCAATCATGGGTCTGGCTGGGATCAGCCTCTCAGGGGAATGTGAGGTTAAAACAAGATATTGGCTGAATAAATGTGCTGTGTGGAAGTGCAAGCCAGGTCTGTTGTGGGAACTCGGAAGGAAACAATGCAGTCTCTGTCGTAAAGGGCTCACCATTCTGCAGTGGGGCGTGTGTGTGTGCATGTGTGTGTGTGTGTGTGTGTGTGTGTTGAGGAGTTACTTCTAAATTATTAGCAGGAGAAACTTTTTGAATCTTGGCTTCAAGCCTTTCCTTTCACATAAAAGGAGCTGAGACCCACGTGAGAAGATGACTTGCTTTAGTGATGTCTCATGTCCAGGCAGAGCTAAGATTAGAGCCCTAAGCGGATGATTCTCAGAAGAGTTTCTTTTTACTCCTCTGTCTCTCTGACTTTAGACAAGAATGCAAATGACATAAAGGAGCATGTGATGCAGACCCTGAGAGTGCAGAGCATCCCCGTGCTCAGCAGGAGGAGGGAGTCAGTGAGGTTTTTTGGAGCACAGATAAGCAGGAGGTGGCACTTGGGGCGGAGCCCTAGAGGTTGGATAGGATCTGAAAGGTGGAGCTGGGTGCATGGTAGGTAGAGGTGACAAACAACAGCATGGAGGCTGGGAAACAGGGACGCATCTGAGGGGAGGGCAAGTTTTCCAACTTGGCTGGAGACCAAGTTGGCACAGGCAGTAATAGGAAGACTGGTAGGCTGGAAATTAAGAAATGCTAAAGCAAAATACTTACCAATATGAAATATAAGGTGTGAAAGTACACTCTAGACTAAAATAGTGTTTTCCATCTTCACCAGGTGCTAAATGTTAACTCCACTTCTATCAGGAAAAACCAAGTCACAAAAGTTGAAGTAACTGGAGACTATTACCCAAACGATACCTTTCTGACCAGCTACAAATGTCCCTCCCTCTCTTCTTCCTCTTCCCAAGAGACTGCTGATAGGTACAACTGGCCTGTTTTCTTTCATCACATCCCTACTGTTATCCCTTTGGGTGGTTTGTTGTTCCAGACTTGCAGGAACCCATGCAAGCCATGATACTGGGCGTTAGGCAATAAATTGTTCACCCTGCAAAGCCTTCACTTCTCTCTCTCACTCATGTGCTGTTTCTCCCCCAGACCCACCCTGACTACAGCGGGTGCTCCTGGGTCTTGGATGCACTAGACTCTCTGAATGATTGGCAGCTGGAATGGGTTAGCCTGGAGGCGTTTAGATTGTCCTTCTACAACCACAGAAGAGCTGTCACCGGCAGAGAGATCCTTGGAGCAGTCAGGCAGAGATCCTCTCAGAAGAGCTTTTGAATAAATGAAGTTGTTCTGAATGGCCCTGTTGTTGAAATGACTGCGCTTGTCAAAATTGGATGTGTCAGAGGGCTGGGCTGGAAGACAAGGTGTCTGAGAAGCTGTCCTGCTGCATCAGGAATGTCGGTGCAGCACACTGGTCTCTGGGTCATGTGTTTTCAGCGTCCAACTTTATGAAAAAAATAAAGGCATTTTCTTTTGTGAGTGCCGTGTGCGTGCATTTGCATATGTTATGCATGCCGATGGCTATTTAATTTTTCACGTGTGCTTCTCCCCTGTTTCGTGCTTACCCGTTGTCTTTTTGGAGAACACAAGTCAACCCATAACACCATGTGCCCACCATCTCTCCTGCTCCAGACCGAGGGTGGAACTGCTGCCCTGGAATAAACAGATCACGGGGTGGGGGTGGGGGGAGGCCCCTACAAGCACAGGGATATGAATCCAGCAAGGGGGTGCTTGAGAGGAGATAGCATCGCCCAAACTTGCAGTGTAGAGAGTGGTGAGCACTGCTGCTGGCTGGCTTTCTTCCCATTCCCCCACCCTACGCCTCCTCATTGACTTTTGTCTTTGGCCACAGTGTTCCCCTTTTATCTGGCTTGTGTAGACTGCTATGGTTCTAGACAGTGTCTAGAGACACTGTGTAGATTCCTATGGGTTAGGGAATTGTTTTTCACCCCTACCATGATTTATAGGAACTGAAAAAGTGAAAGGAATCTTGTTTACTATTTAAGTATAAGACTCGTGGCATTGGTTATCTGTGTAGCACTTATATGTAATACCATACATGTAATAAATGTTCATCAAATGTATAAGCTGGTCCCAACTGCAGAAAAAATTATAAAAACACTAAGGAACATAAAGCATAAATGACAGGATTTAGATGGGAGGAGGGTTGTCTGAGAAAGCCTGGGGAGATGAGATGAAGGAGGAGGTGCTAAGAATGAGGAAGGGCTCTGGGGTAAGAGAGCAGCCTGAGCAAAGGTCCTGAGGCAGGCAGGGCAGCTTTTGGCTTGTTAGAGAAACTAAATGAAAACCAGGGCAGCTGGGCTCTCGAAAGCCAGGAGGAAGTGCAGTGGGAGATTGAGGCTGGAGGAAAAGGCTGAGGCTGAGCTGTGCAGAGCTTGGTTTTTACCGAGTACAGAGAGAAGCTGATGAAACATTTTAACTAGGAAATCGACGTTTTACTTAGATTTTTTTGTTTTGTCTTTTAGTTGAGATGCAGCTTACAGTAAAGTGTACAAATCTTAAGCACACCTCAAAGTTTTACACATGCATGCCCAGATTAAGATGCAGAATGTTCCCATCACTGACCTTAAGACCACTGTCACTGCTGCGTTGAGAAGGGATTGGAAAAAAGTGTGGAAATGGGAAGATCAGTGAGACACATTCTGCATCAGTTACTAGAGCAATGATGGGGGGCCAGACGAGTGTGGAGGTGGAGAGAAGTGAGAATGAATTTTGTAAAATGAATTTTGGAGGTAGAATCGATCAGATTTGCTCATGGAATGGATATGAGAGTGAAGGGAAACTGCTGATTCCTAGGACTGGGGCCTGAGCATTGTGGGCAACAATTTGCCGAGATGGAGAAGACTAAGTCAAGGACAGGTGTTTGGGGAAGAGAGAGAAGTTCAGGATTCCATTCTGGACTTGCGAAACACGGACATGGAGATGTCAGATAGACAGGGCTGGGCCAAAGACACAAGTCTGGAAGCCGTCACCACGGAAAGGCAGTGTATAGACCAACAGGGATGGGTGAGATTACCTAAGAAGGCAGGACACGAAGGAAAAAAAGAAAACTATCCAGGGCTAAGACCAAAAAATGTCTAATATTTAGAATCCGATTATAGTAAAGGAGCCAACAAAGGAAACCAAAGTGGAGAAATCTAAGAAGTCAAGGGAGGGTGGTATCATGGAAGCCAAGAGGAGAGAACGTGGTCCTGTCTGGTGTGCACAGTCCTGGGGGGAATGTTAAGACATTTACGTCCATTGCATTTGGTGACATGGAGATCATGGTGACCTTGAAGTCAACTCAGTGGAGCAGGGCAGGTATCAGCCAGATGTGAGCAGGTTGAAGAGTGAATGGGAGGTAGGTAGTAGAGACAGCTGCTGCTGCTGCTGCTGCTTCTCCTTCTTCTCCTTTTCCTTCTCCTCCTCCTCCTTCCTTCCTCCTCCTCCTCTCCTTCTCCTTCCTTCCTCCTCCTTCCTTCCTCCTCCTCCTCCTTCCTTCCTCCTTATCCTCCTCCTCCTTCCTTCCTTCTTCTTTCCTCTTCTTTCTTTCCTCCTCCTCCTCCTTCTTCTTCTTTCTTCTTCATCTTCTTTCTTCTCCTTCTTGTGTTGAGATAAAAGGAGGATGTTAGTGCTGGAAGAAAGCAGAGACACAGGCTGGTAGCCTGAGTCACTTGGCATAAAGAGAGACTTTTAAGATGAGAGATACTAGAAGGAGATAATAATGCAGAAGAAGGCAGAGAAATACAAAGGACCTTGAGAAAGTGAGGGGGATGGGGTTCACAGTAGAGGTGAAAGAGGAGAAGATACAGGCAAATGCTGGTAGGTGTAGAGATTTGGTGATGAAAAGGTCAAAAATTTCTTTTTTAAATGAAACAAGCGAAGGTGGAATAGGAGCATGGGAAGTCTGAAGACTAGATATGAGGTGGTTGTTTAAGGGAGTAAGAGAGTGAGACTTGGACACCTAGGGAGAGCTGGCTGGCCAGGGATGAGTGCCTGTTTGGGGTCTGCAATCATGAATCGAAAGCAAAGCCAGGCTTGCATGACTTTCTCTAACTGCACACTGCAGTGCCAGTGTGGAGAACACAGAGTTTGGGTTCTGCCCAGCAAGCTGGGAAAGAGCAAGGGAGCAATTCCGCGAGGGACCATGTAACCCGGGTGACTCAGGAGGCCGGGGGGAGGGCAGTGAGAACTCACGGAGCTCCTGGATGGCACAGAAGACACCAGGCCTGTAAACTATGTCTCTGAGAAGGAATTTTCTCTCTCCAGCATCCTTCCGCGTTAGCTCATGGATGAGGGCACTTGCCCGAGAAGCAGCGGTGACACCCAGTGCCCATTCCTTGAAGTGCACCTTCTTGGTTTTAGGTTGTCGGCAGATCTGGAAGTGGGTGTTCTGCTCCGCTTGGGGGGCACTGGAGCTCTCTCCATTCTCCTGATGGTTGGTTCTCACGGGAGGCTGTCCTACTGGCCCTGGACATTCTAAGGGGATGGAGAGGGGATGCTTAAGTGGGCAACTAGAAGTGGATGGCTAAGGCACTGTGGGCAATTGGGCTGTTAGCTCCCAAGCCCAGACCAGGGCTTCTCCACTAGGTTTCCACTGTCCTGGGACAGATTCCGAATCCTGGGGTGGCTTTGGCCAGTCTAAAGCCCAGCTTGAGCTTAGACAAATGCCTGGTAGTGACATGAGCCTTGTCTCGCCCACAGATGTCTTGGGGAAGTGCCATTCTGGCTGACTCAAGAGCCAAGTGAGGACTCCCTTCTCTCTACCACCTCCTGAGAATTGGCTGTCCTTGGGGTTCTAAGAGGGTCCTACTATCTCTGGCTCTGCTTGACCCAAGCATCAGGATCTGGCTTAGTCTAGAAGGAAACCCAGGTTTTCCAAGGGGTTGGGTGTCCCTTAGAGGCTGTTCTACCCAAAGGAAATACAAAGAGGACCAAGCTAGGACAGCCAGTCCCTTTGCAGTGACCTAAGGTACCTTTACTGTTCTGACCAATTACCTTCTACCAGGATGTGCTGTTTATGTTCCACTTTAAGTCGTTAGTCAATCAGGTTTAAGTCCAAACACAAGAGGTTCACTGAGGCATGAATGCTGGCATGGGGCAGGTGAGGGAGGTGGTTTCTAAGGTGATCAAGAAACAGAGGAAGACTGAGTCTGACTCACTTCCAACCCTCTTCCCTATCTCTTATATCACACTTCCCAGTCTGAACTTGACTTGAACTTAGGGGCAGCCTGTTGTAGCAGAGAGAGCCCATGTTGGACATGTAGTCATGCAATTACCTGTCCACATCTCTTTCCACACCTGTGAAATTGGGGGTGGTACTGCACAGGGCTGTAGTGCAAGTCAAATTAAACAATGCATATGAGAGTGCTTCTTACATCAACACAGTGCTTTCGTTTAGGGCATTATTATTGGATATTTATACCAAGGCAGATCTCAGAAACTTTAAGGGAAAAGAAAAAACTTTATGGCAATGAAATCCATTAGAGGTAGAGAGCTTCTGTCACTAGAGGACCTATCAGAGGCAGGGTGATGGCTGATGTCCTTTCCAAGACTGAGAGAGCACCCAGGGCTTGGAGTCAGACAGACTTAGCTTCTCAGTTACAGAGCTGTGGCTCCTTGGACAGGTCCCTGAACCCCCGCCCAGATACTCAGTGTCCCCCTGTATGAAGTGGAGACAATCCCTCCCTGCCTGAGCTGTTGAACAATTAAATGATGCATCATCTGTAAAGCACTTAAAATAGAGTAGGCACTCAATGCATGGTCTCATGAAAATTCATTAATTCGGGTCATCCAAAACTAAATATTTTGGGCATATATTGTGGGCCAGGCATCAAGCTAGGTGCTGGGTGACATTATCTTATAGCGTAGCTTTTCAGACAGACAATTCTAGTTCAAATCCCAAATTTACCACTTACTAGCTGTAGAAATGTATTTAACTTCTTTGAGCCCTAGTTTCTTCCTATGTAAAGTGAGGGAGAATACTATCTATTTTAAGGGATTAATGTAATAATTATAGAATGTATGTAAAGTGCCTAGGACAGTACCTGGCACATACAAAGTCTCAAAAGTGGCAGTGATTATAATTAACGTGATCATGCTGAAACATTAAAAGGTGGAGATGCTGGTGGGTCAGATATAATAAACCCAAAGGTCCAAATGACTTTATTTATGGCATCAAATCCATCCTTGAGCCAACCTCTTCTGCATTAAATAAAATATAGGATGTTATTTCCCCTTAAAGTGAGAGAGGTTTCTGTTGGCTCTAAAGAGGGACATGGTAAAATACTT